CATACCAGACCATCACGCCACTCTACGCTGACATCACACTGCCGACTGGTGACGTCATACACCGCCAGATAACGCCGTCCATTTGGCTGGCCGTCATCCGGAGCCTAAAGGCTGAAACAGACTCTTTCCGCGTTCAGGAAATCGCATGCGAGAACCTATTCAAATACATTATAATTCTTCCCGCATCAATCGCATCCGGGAGGTGCGTGCGATTGATGCGAACGTGCTTCCGTGTATTTGAATAGGCTCTCGCATGCGATTTCCTGACTGCGGAAAGAGTCTGTTTCAGGCATAAGATGACATCATCGCGAGGCGTGGAGGGATGCTGTTGAAGAAGAGAGATGTCGCCTGACGTGTAGTCTCTGTGGTCTGATAAGGAGAGCTGATTACTTTTTTGCTATGGAAGCGGGGATTTTGTGGAATAGTCTCAGCCAGAAGCTAATTGCTGAATTGAGGGATTCGTTAATATTTATATCATCGTCATAGTGTCATCATGATCAGAAGTTCAGGCTGCTCAATCGGATGATGTAAAGTGAGAAAGGTGAGAAAATGAAAAAAGTATCTACTGTGAAATGCACACTGCACTGCGCTGCACTCCACTCACTCAACCGACACTCACATGTACCATTCACACGCATTGCACTCATTCATGTACCCTGCCATCACCCTACCCCGTTCCCTTCTCCTCATCTCCCGTCTCCATTCACAGCCCACCCCTTTTCACCTCACCAGTCTCCTCAATGCGCGGATCAACAGACTGCCATTCCCAGCTGGCCGGCCGTATGCTGATGTGGACAGTCCTTCAATGCGTCTGAGTTCTCCGTCGGTACCCAGAGGGGAGCGGGAGACGAACCGACCCCGTCCGGCGGTACAGGTGACAATATGGATCGGCGCCGGCACACGGTCATAAACGAAAACAAGTCGGCTTTTCTGCGACTGCTGAAAGCTTTGATCACACATAAAACGGCGATAAACTTTGATTCGCCCGACTCAACTGATGATATACTCGGCGATAAAATTACTGAGCGCCGGGGCATAATAAGCGTTTTATGAGTGCGAGCCGGCGCGTGCATGAATAGGCCCGGTGGTGAGATGCGTGACTGGCACTTGGCCAGGGAAATTCGGCGGAGCGGCGCTTTGTCGTCCGCCGCCACCGTTTGAAAAGGGTCACAAACCTCCGAGCAAAGAGCCCAAGGTGAGAGGAAAATACACTGGACGGATTCACATCAGACTGTAGTAAAAGCTGCTGCTTTGATTCTCCAGTCCCGGCTTGGTCACTCTCGCTACATACATAGCAAAAATAATTATTTGGCTTGATTTTGCCAAGCGAAGTTAAGAAGGAATTTGACTGGCAATCAGAGACCAATCACTGAGATAAATGCTGCGGTCACTGTTCGTTTCTGAAGTCGTCGAGCGACTACCATCTCCCACGATAAGTGGCTGTGGATTGGCGGAGTGCAGGAGTCCCTGGTTGTACCCGATCTCCGCCGGTCTGGTGAGCGATATAACGGCGCCGTCACTCTCCGGCTCAGCATTCTGCACCGCTCAGCGGCCGCACTCAGCCGCAACACAATGGGAACGGACTACTAAATGCGCGCCGGCCGCCGTATTAAATAAGGCTCAGCCTGAGCCATCGGCCGGTGATCGCGTCATTACCATGCGACAGAAGCCGACTGTCGCGGCTCAAACGGACATCAGGACGGTAATGTACCGTCTCCAATGCTGGTTTGTGGCCATCGGACAGGAATGTCGATGCCAGAATATAGTACCTTTCTAACACGGAGGCAATGTAATGGCAAATAAAGACGGTTGCTTCTGTTATAGCTCCATTGACATTCCATTGTTGTCACTAAGTTAGAGCGGGTCTGTTCATTGGGTATTGTTGTATGTAAATGATATGAATGAACGGTGAAACGGTGTACTATTGTCCTGTTTTGTTAGCTTTGCTTGATGTCATTAACGTCGAGCTAGGGTGACTAGTGAATATGCATAGGCATAAGTGATGTGTGAGATAGGGACGTAGCATGCAAAACCTTACGCATGCCATGCGTTTAAATTCAAGTAAGATATTTTTGCATCTTATGTTTACCAATATATTTTTACATTAAAGGAAAACTGTAGGAATTCTACATCGTAACAAATGGAATAATATTTGTTTATGAAAATGGAGCAGAGCCCACTTGCAGCTGTGCATCCGGCTGGTTCCCGGGTGACTATCAGTTGTTCCGACCGCGTCCGCTTCCGCCACTGGCGCTCTGACGAAAGCCCTGAACCCACCAACCACATCATCCTGTGTCTGACGGTTGGGCCCAGCGCAGTCTCTGTATGTAGGTACTGTATCTATCCTATACAGCCGGCAGACTCGCTGTATCAGGCTCGAAACCATATCGTTCGGTATCTGACCGACTTGACGCTGTTTTACAATCTGTATGTAAGTGTGCAATTGAAGATGAAACTGTGTCATGGAACTTTGTATGATATTTGACAGTCTTGGAGGGCATTTCAGGGTATGGAAATGACTTGAAGATGCCAGCTGAAATCAGGGTTGTATACCAATCAAGTCGATTGAATTGATTGATTTGTTTCAACGCGCATTTTGAGTTGATTGGATTGAGTCGATTGACTTTTCGAGATGACTCGTTGACTGACTCGTTTGACTTTAGCGACTGGTTGACTGATTTGATTCCCGAAATTAGAGTGACTCGTATGATTGAGTCGATTGAATGGAAAGTTCAAATAAGTTTTAGTTGACAAAAAATAATGACACCAATTGATGACACCAAAGATCACAAAACTACACTGAAAACTGCTTGTCATCACAACTGCAATATGGGGTAGATGGCCAAATAAAGAACAGGGCCTAAACAACATGAACAGCCAACGTTGACTTTCAACTGCAATAACTCAGTTATTGCCACTGCAATAACTGAACTGCTCCAATCCTGGTGATAGAACCTGGCGATGCACCTATACCTTCCTTTCTGCACTCAGCAGGAAACTTTTTTTTAATCCAGATGATAAAGTGCAAGGCCCTATATACTAATAAAGTGTGATTAATTAATAATTCACATCTCCACATCTCCTCAGAAACAACCCACTGAACTCTATAAATATCTGAAACCCCTACAAAAATAACTGAAACAAAAGCGCCGTTTTCGTCTCGATGATTACGTTTACGTACAATTGATAGCTACTTTGCTGCATTGTTTAATTTGCAGCAGAACGTTTGTTGATCCTTTTCTCCTGAGAGCATAAGCATAACATATTTAATATATTTCATTTTCCTTAAAATATTTTACCGAATATTATTAAGTGTTTTTATTTCAAATGAAATGATAATTAAAACGAAATTGGTGCTGTACAACCGATTCATTTTATGATGATCTACCATACTACATGATAATCAATGACGTCATCTTACCGCAAAGTCAAAAGAAGTAGAATAAGGATTTATAAAAGCTTAGCATACTTATTGGCAAAACCAAACGTTTTCGTTGTTTCGCAGTCGCGCCGTGCCGTTTTCCAAGAGTCCCTGTCCTCTCCATTTCCTTTTAATATTTTTAATCCTCATCCCTATATCCCCCAGTCCTAACAGTCTCAAATTGTATTGCAACAAAATGTTTTGAATTATTCACATAGGTACCTAACATTGACATGCCACGTCCAGAATCGTGGACCGCTAAATGCTTCAAATCTCTTCCTTCCCAATCTGACAACATCCCATGTCTCAAATGCACATTGTGTGGAATGATTTTTCAGGCTGCCTGTCAGTCTCTGTCTAACTGAAACCGTCACATGCATGATGCAGGTAAGATATTTATTTCTATTTACCTATGGTTAATATGTTATTGATGCATATTATCCATTAAAATAGACATGATGTAGGGTAAATGGCCAAATCACGAACACTGCCAAAATCCGAGCAGCCAACTTTCAACTGTAATATCTGATATTGAGTGTAAATGGAGTTGGAATATGGCCAAAATTAAATTGACAACTTTTAGGTGAAAGGTGGCGATGTGGGTTAAGGGGCGAGTCAACTACTGGGTCATTTTGCACCCAATAAATGACACTTCTGCTCCAATTCTACCCATTGAACCTCAATATCATGATCCACCTGTCCATCACTAGGTATCCTTCCTTATTACATAGAAAGTTTGAATGCCATGGCAATTTATAATTTTAAATGACAATATTTTTATGTTTCTTCTGTAGGTAGGTAGGTAGGTAGGTAGGTAGGTACACCAGACTGCTAGGAGACACTTTTCCAAGTTGGTGGGGCAAAAAAGCTAATGTATGTCTTGGTTTGAGTCGTTTGATTGAGTTGATTGATTCCTTTCATTGTCGCGTTTGAGTCGATTGAATCAATTCCCGAAAACTGCTATGACTTGATTGATTTGATTGGTTTCCCAAATTTATCGTGATTGAATTGATTGCTATTGATTGAGTCGTATACAACCCTGGCTGAAATACAGTGTAAGCTTTCGTATGGCAATTGTAATAGTGTGTGGCAACCTTTTGCACAGCATAGCCTATCCAAGTATTGTCGAATCAGCATTCATTTTAACATTTTATTGGAAAAGTAAAAAAGCAATTGAGAAAAGAAACATTCATGCACGTTTAGCGACAATTTGCGTACAACTGTTAAACACGAGATAAGAACTGAGATAAAATTATAAAGGAATATGGTAAGATGAAGCAATTTAAACGAATGACTTACATTATAGTCGATCGGGCGCCACACATATTCCCAGGCCTGGAACAATAAGAGCACATCGGCAGACACATCTTATAAGCACAGGTGCAATATCACACTCGACATAAAGCTCTGAATAGGTACCAAAGTCTTTGAGGTCTACGTGGTATACAGAGGTCTACGCTCTCGCGGAATGCACAAGGCGCATTGCTCTTTGACGTCACAGCCAGACGCGCCCGCAATCACCTGACCTCGCCGCTCGCTGTAGGGCGTCCCACGCTCCTCGTGCCGCACCGTCACGTCCTCACTCCACGACGGTGCTGAGTCGCTTGAACTCCTCGACCACCTTCTCCTCCAGGAGCTGGTCGCGCTTGGTTCGCTCGAAGAAGCCGGCCCGGTGCATGACGAAGACGATGACGGCGAGCAGCAGCAGCGCTCCCAGCACCGCGAGGACGATGATCCAGACGGCCAGCGGCTGCGGCTCGAGCGCCGAGGGCAGCAGCTCGGTGGAGACGGCAGCGCGGTCCGGCCGGCGGTTCACCTCCGGCGCGATGCCGGCGCTGTTTCGGATGTGCACGAAGCCGTGTGTGACCAGGGCGGCGGCGCTGCGGCCGTCCAGCAGCGGGCGCAGCGCGCCCACGTCCAGCCGCATGCTGAGCTGCACGGTGGCGCGCGTGGCCGTATCGGGAAACGCCACCAGCTGGCACGTCATGCGCACACACTGCACGCGCGAGCCGCTTGTACAGTTGAGCAGGTGAGTGCCGTTCGCCCGAAGCTCCTCCAGAGACACTTCTGCTTCACGTTTTCGGCGTGAAACCGTTTCGTTGTGACCTGGCTCGAGGTCTTGAACATCTGGTTTCAGTGGTCGAAAGAAGGTCATGTTCTGCAATGAGCAGCTGAACGGCCGGCCTCCTATTTGTGCCGCAGGTGGGTATATTTCCAAGAATCTGACTCTATCTCCATCATTGTCGAAATCGACAGGGATGAGGAAGGAGATGACAGCAGCTTCCACCGGCGTCGGCAGGTATTTGAAGATCTGGTAAGTGTGATTGATAATTAGGAAGTAAGGCTCTTCTTTCTCTTCTGGTTTTCGGTCTTCCTCCTTGTGATAAAATACTTGATCCTGCACAGCTTTGCCGACTATTTCCATGTCTGCCTCACTCCGCAATCCCAGTGTGATGTTGGCGACATTATCGAGTGGATTACTTTCAACACCTGTGGACGTGACCGATACGTTGAACTTCAGACTATTGTGGTGACTGGTAACGTCTGTAACGTCAAGGCTGAGAACAAGCCTAAACTCCGATGTGTCATAGAAAGGATGTGGCTGCACAATACAAGTCACGCTGACCGAAAGCTGACCGGAACTTTGCTCTTGGCATGACGGCGGTATCCGCATCAGGGTGACCGGTGACGGCACCATTACCGTCAGGCTGGGCAGCGACGCCGGCTCGCCGCCGTTCGTCAACTTGAGCTCCAGGTCCAGCGTCTTCGTGGAACCGATGACGTAGGTGTTGCTGGTAGCAGAGAGGAAAGAGTACGCCAGTCGCAAGTCTGTGTTACAAATTGAATCTGCTCCACACCCGACAGCAAATGGAACACTCAGCAAGGTCAGCTGTTGGTTGTCCATGTGCACGTTTGGAACGGGGCAAGAACTGCAGAAGTCGTCAATCCTCTCCAAATCGGACGGAAAGGACACCTGCCTCTTCCCTCTTCTGTTGGGTGTAGATACGGGCGAACGCTTGGAAGTGTCCGTGTTTATAATCACTGCTTGTTCGCCTGACCGACTACTGACGCTTGACATCAGCATGTACCTCATGCTCAGCTGGATGGGCTTATTGAAGTCGATCAATGATCCCTCCATGCGGATTGCAACAGTGTACTGCTGGCATTTTTGGTTGTCCTTCGTCACTTTCCATCTTTGTGACGTAGAGGACTCGTCCTGTCCATCCACAACCAAAACGCTCTGAGCGTGAAAAGATTCCACCTTCAAAGTGACGTTGACAGCAACTATGGGTGGTACGTATTGACCGTGAAATGTCAGACACGCCTGCACCTCGAACTCCCTGGTGTCCGCCTCCAGCTTCTCTGGCTGGGCGGACAGTGTGGCGGCGAACTGAAGCACGGGTCGGGTGCGCAGCAGCACAGCGTCGCCGCTGGCGTAAGACCCCACGGCCACGTCCGGGTACCGGTTGCCGTCCACGTCCACGCCCCGCGAGAGGCTGATGCCGAAGCCGCGCAGGTCGGCGTTGAGCTCGCTGGCGGCGATCCGCTGTGAGGCCGTGGTGACAAAGTCTCCCGGTCCGCCCCGGAACACGTACACGGCACCCCGGCCGTCCTCCTCGTAAGGGGCACCGACGGCGAAATCGAAGAAGCTGTCGTTGTCGATGTCACCCAAAGAAGCCAGAGTACTGCCGAAACGTGCGCGCAGCGCTCCGCGGCCCACTGTCGTACGAGCCGACTTGAACTGGGCGCGGTCCGAGTTAATGTAGACGTAGATTCGTCCATGCTCGAAGGCGCTGCCTTCGCCGAAAAGTGGTGCTCCGACAACCACATCGCTCAGACCGTCTCCGTTCAGGTCCACGGCCAACACCGCGGCGCCGAAGTACTCGCCGACTGTGGATCCTTCCCAGGTCATCATGATTTCGTACGGCTCGTACACATTGCGTGGGAAGTCGAACAGCAACACGCTGCCCTTTCCATCCGCAGCCCGCGGCGCACCGGCCACATACACAGTCGACTTTGTTGAGCTGAAGAACCTGCCAGATCCAACAGAATAGCCTAGGTAATCATATCTGTTGAACTGTTCAGTCACGAATGGATTTGGAATGATGAGCTCGCTGAGATCGTTGGCTTGTCGCCTCCGTCGCTGTCTTCCGCCGCCTTCTTCCGTCTCCTCGAAGGCGCTGTACCTGATCAGGGTGCCCGTCCAGTCGAAGACGCCCGGCGCTCCGAGGATCAGCTCGCGCCCGTTGTCGGGGAAGTGCACTGATGTGCCGGCCTGGCCGTACGAGTAGTAGTACACGTGGCGGTACTTGTAGGTATCCGGCAGCTGGAAACTCTGTTTGGTGGTTTCGTACAGCGGGACAAACTTCTGAAACGTGTTGTCGCCAACGAGAGCATCAGCCAGGTAGCAGACTCCGTTGCCCAGGTACTGGTTGGAATAGTGCCTGTTTCGCCAGCGGAAGCCGCTGACGGCGAGCCTGCCGGTGCCGCCTGGCTCGGCGTCCATGGCGCCTCCCAGCCAGCCCTGGTCCTTCAGGTCCGTGTACAGCCGCTGTCGGTTAACGTCGTTACCAGTCGGATCGACGAGGACCTCCTGGCAGGCGGCGCCGCGACGCAGCGGACACTTGAACACGGCGCCCGGCTCGAGGACGCGTGAAGGCGGGTTTAGGCCCAGGGTGGAATTGGCACGCGGCGCGCCCGCGAGCAGCCAGGGCCCGTCGCCCATGCCGACGCCAGCCAGACTGACTGAGTAGCCGAAGTAGGTGTCTGCGCGCGTCTGCCGGCCGGTCGGGTCGGTCACCGGGCCGCGGAAGATCACCGGATGTGCCGTGTCCACGTTGAAGCCGGTGGTTAATGGAGACACCATCAGCAGCAACACCAACTCTAGCACCGGCACCGGCACCGGTGCAGCTCGCACTACACGCGGAAACGCCATCAAGACACCGTCGCCTGGCCAGCCCGACTCGCGCCGCGCCACAACGTCTTCTGCTGCTGGCGGCACGGATGTCAGCTCCGATAACGATTGCCGCCGCCTCCTGGAAATGGCTACCGGATGTGCCGACTCCGTATCTGTTGGAACAGCTGCCCATTCCCTGCTGCTGCCCCGCCCGTCGCCACTGCCACTGTCGTATCGCGTCTGCTAGTTACATTGCCGCACCACCACAACCTGTCGCTGAGTCACCTTGCTACTCAGACTGGATTGTGGGGCACACCACACGTCGGGCTCACCAATGTTCAATGATAATGAGACTTATGCACATTAAACCAGAGTTGGAGGACATGACTTGTTGCGTGTTCATTAACTGATGAAAGCCGGTCTAAAAAGACCCAAGTCATAGAACATAAGGCTTAAAAGAAAGTATTGGTGAAAAGCCAACGAAAAAATCAAACAATGGCACAAGCGGAACGTCGAGTGAACCAAGAGTTCATTCGCCCAACCAATCCTGCCTAGGCGCAGTGCGTACACATGGAAAACTAAGAGCCTGGCCGGAGAGCGGGACGCCGAACGACCGTTGTGCGCGAGAATTCAGCGGCAAGATGTCGCTGCGGAGCGGCGGCGAGGAGCGGACAATGTGCAAAGCGCTGGGACGTCACAGACTACATACGTCACGGTTACTCCAGGTTACCCCGCCGCGGTTCGCCGCAGTGGAGAGGGGCGACGGCTCGGCGCGGGGCACCACATCTTCATGTGGAGCAGGTATAAGGCTCAGTCTTACAGTCAACGTAATTGAAAACGCATATCTTCATGTCATGATGTTGAAGGCACATTGGTGGAGTATTCCGGCTACGTGCGCTGGTGTCACTTGGTCACATTGTCGGTATGATGTCACTTTGTCGGTACGATGGTTTGTTCTTGGTTGCACGTGTCGAAGTGAAGACTTGTTCCTAATCTCAAACGCCGCTGCGGCGAGGCTAGTTTATCGAGCAAACAAACAAACGGAGCACGACCTTCGGAACGTTTCAGCATAAAAGTAAATAAAGTCGCTCACTCACAATCGGTGGTCAGATCATCACGGCTGCGAGTTGTGACAGAGCTCCACGCAGCAGAACCACCGGGTACCAGGGTCAGCCCAAACCAAATGCATCATGAAATAATGAGACATACATACTCAGCTACTTATCATTGCCGGAAAGTGTGAGGGCCAATAAATGGGGAGCTTTATTAGATACAATACACAAATAAACCAATTGTCTCGTCACTCGTGCTTTAGGATAGTTTGATTCTAATAACGTCATGTGATTTCCCTTCATATTTCATTCTCCATTACAGTATTTTGCGGATACCAACCTAATAACTAGATAATTGCATTGTAGCTTTGTTACGATTTGGTTGGTTGAGCTCACTTTAGCATCACAAGCAAATAAGACGGAAGACGTTTTAGCAAACATAATGTGTGTAGAATTGTAGAGTAGGTACATAGGTGTGAGTGACGAATGCACAGAACATGTCGCCAAGCACCTGTCCCAGACCTATTACAAGCTGGAGCCAACTGGCCACTGGCGGATCCAGGCTTGCGTTTTGGGGGGGGCCAACTCATGCAGGAGCCAAACCTAGGGTACCCCCAAATCCTGTTTTCTCATCGGATTTAGGCCACTTATTTTTCGTCACAGCCCTGACACTATGAATATTTTTTTTTACTAAAAATAAAAAATATATAAATGGTAGCCCACCCGACCCATGCCTTTATATTACTTTGTAAACACTTACCATTGCTTTTGTTGACCAGTTAACCCGCTTCGAGTCAGTGCTTGGGTCCCTTTGCGGGCCGGGAGGTGGTAAAACACCCCCTGTCTAACTCGGCTCCTGGGCCACGCACTGATTGAACTATGTTTCATTATCGTTTGGGGGAGGGGGCAAACGGGCCACTTTAGGCCTCTGGGAAGGGGGCATGACCCTCAATGCCCCCTCCCTGGATCCGCCAGTGTAAGAGACCATTGGAGCTGCAGTTGGGTACCTCAGACGTCAGGGTACGCCCTCAGATGTATAGGACTCGAGTGGAGACCTCTTATGCTCTAGTGGACTGAAAGGACCCAAAGGAGCCCGTCTAGGGCTCCCGGAGATAGACGTGGGCCCTCAGGAGCCCGCCAGAGCCCCCAATGAGGGATAAGTGAGGGATACCAAGTGCCTGCAATTGCATATTGCATAAGCCATAACGTATCAGTGGCAGATCCAAGGGGGGCCACATGAGTCATGACCCCCTTGGTGCCCGGGGGCACCACAGGCCTGTCAGGGGCACCATCGACCTAGCAGGGGCACCGGGCACCACCAGCCCGCCAGGGGCACCACAGGCCTAGCAAGGGCACCACGGGCCTGTGAGGGGCCCCACAGGCTTGTCAGGGGCACCCCAGGTCTGTCAGGGACACCAGAGACCTGCCAGGGGCACCACCGGCCTCGCAGGGGCACCATGGGTCTGTCAGGGGCACCAGAGGCCTAGCAGGGGTACCATAGGCCTTACAGGGGCACCACCGGCCTTGCAGGGGCACCTTGGGCCTGTCAGGGGCACCATAGTCCTGTCAGGGCCCAGGGGCACCAGCGGCCTAGCAGGGGTATCACAGGCCTGCCAGGGGCACCACCGGTCTAGCAGGGACACCACCGGCCTCGCAGGGGCACCATGGGCCTGTCAGAGGCCCCATCGGCCTCGCAGGGGCACCACCGGCCTCGCAGGCATCACGGCATCACGCAGGGGCACCTTGGGCCTGTCGGGGGCATCACGGGTCTGTTGGGGGCACTTTAGGCTTGTCAGGGGCACCACAGTCCTGTCAGGTCCCAGGGGCATCAGCAGCCTAGCAGGGGCACCCTAGGCCCGCCAGAGGCACCACAGGCCTGCCAGGGTCCAGGGGCACCACGGGCCTGCTGTCAGGGGCACCTCAGGCTCCCGTGCCCCCCCCCCCTGGATCCGCCAGTGATGCCACACCACGCGAAACACCGCCAACTACCAGCTGCCGCGCCATAAACACGTGCCAACCAGTCTTTTTTTTTGAAGGTGGCGACTCCGCTCGCGCGACTTTTGACTGACCCTCACTGCTACCATATTGCCTCCATATTATGCTGTGGAAAGCTTTTCTTCACCAAGTGGCTAAAAACCTCCATCAAGGTGTATTTTCTTAGCAATTTTTCTGACGTTTTGGGGGGGGGCCAAACAGGCCACTTTAGGCCTTTGGGGGGGGCCATGGCCCTAAATGCCCCCCCCTGGATCCGCCAGTGCCACTGGCGGATCCAGGCTTGCGTTTTGGGGGGGGCCAACTCATGCAGGAGCCAAACCTAGGGTACCCCCAAATCCTGTTTTCTCATCGGATTTAGGCCACTTATTTTTCGTCACAGCCCTGACACTATGAATATTTTTTTTTACTAAAAATAAAAAATATATAAATGGTAGCCCACCCGACCCATGCCTTTATATTACTTTGTAAACACTTACCATTGCTTTTGTTGACCAGTTAACCCGCTTCGAGTCAGTGCTTGGGTCCCTTTGCGGGCCGGGAGGTGGTAAAACACCCCCTGTCTAACTCGGCTCCTGGGCCACGCACTGATTGAACTATGTTTCATTATCGTTTGGGGGAGGGGGCAAACGGGCCACTTTAGGCCTCTGGGAAGGGGGCATGACCCTCAATGCCCCCTCCCTGGATCCGCCAGTGTAAGAGACCATTGGAGCTGCAGTTGGGTACCTCAGACGTCAGGGTACGCCCTCAGATGTATAGGACTCGAGTGGAGACCTCTTATGCTCTAGTGGACTGAAAGGACCCAAAGGAGCCCGTCTAGGGCTCCCGGAGATAGACGTGGGCCCTCAGGAGCCCGCCAGAGCCCCCAATGAGGGATAAGTGAGGGATACCAAGTGCCTGCAATTGCATATTGCATAAGCCATAACGTATCAGTGGCAGATCCAAGGGGGGCCACATGAGTCATGACCCCCTTGGTGCCCGGGGGCACCACAGGCCTGTCAGGGGCACCATCGACCTAGCAGGGGCACCGGGCACCACCAGCCCGCCAGGGGCACCACAGGCCTAGCAAGGGCACCACGGGCCTGTGAGGGGCCCCACAGGCTTGTCAGGGGCACCCCAGGTCTGTCAGGGACACCAGAGACCTGCCAGGGGCACCACCGGCCTCGCAGGGGCACCATGGGTCTGTCAGGGGCACCAGAGGCCTAGCAGGGGTACCATAGGCCTTACAGGGGCACCACCGGCCTTGCAGGGGCACCTTGGGCCTGTCAGGGGCACCATAGTCCTGTCAGGGCCCAGGGGCACCAGCGGCCTAGCAGGGGTATCACAGGCCTGCCAGGGGCACCACCGGTCTAGCAGGGACACCACCGGCCTCGCAGGGGCACCATGGGCCTGTCAGAGGCCCCATCGGCCTCGCAGGGGCACCACCGGCCTCGCAGGCATCACGGCATCACGCAGGGGCACCTTGGGCCTGTCGGGGGCATCACGGGTCTGTTGGGGGCACTTTAGGCTTGTCAGGGGCACCACAGTCCTGTCAGGTCCCAGGGGCATCAGCAGCCTAGCAGGGGCACCCTAGGCCCGCCAGAGGCACCACAGGCCTGCCAGGGTCCAGGGGCACCACGGGCCTGCTGTCAGGGGCACCTCAGGCTCCCGTGCCCCCCCCCCCTGGATCCGCCAGTGATGCCACACCACGCGAAACACCGCCAACTACCAGCTGCCGCGCCATAAACACGTGCCAACCAGTCTTTTTTTTTGAAGGTGGCGACTCCGCTCGCGCGACTTTTGACTGACCCTCACTGCTACCATATTGCCTCCATATTATGCTGTGGAAAGCTTTTCTTCACCAAGTGGCTAAAAACCTCCATCAAGGTGTATTTTCTTAGCAATTTTTCTGACGTTTTGGGGGGGGGGCCAAACAGGCCACTTTAGGCCTTTGGGGGGGGCCATGGCCCTAAATGCCCCCCCCCTGGATCCGCCAGTGCAACTGGCTGGCCGTCC